TATAATCCTGTTTAAAAGCAAATAGTTTAGACCATAAAGCCCAATCTTTAACTAACAACGGGAAATAGGAATCAAAAAAAAAGAAAATTGAATTAAATGTAATCTATATAAAAACAAATTTTTCATAAAAGAAGAAGAATTAGCTAACAAAAATAAATTAGTTAAATGTGTTTGTGATTGATGAAAAAATAAATTAATCAATCCCAGGCCTTGAGACAAAAACAATATAGAGTCAGGGAGCATGCGTGAGAAGTTGGCCTTATGTTTAACCACAGAACGGATACTGCTGGTTGCCGAGGCACATTCAGATTCAGAGAGGTGAGTGACTTGCATACGATATTCCAATTTGGAATAAGAACGGTATTGTGCATATAAACAACTTGTTTTGCAAACAGTTTGGCGGGGCGAACGGTAGCCGCGAAAGAATTGCATTCACGAGCAACTTGTTTCTTGACAAAATCGCGAGAACTAACGACATTGAACCAGACGCCCAGAAAACGGAAAGAGCTATTCATGGAGATAGGCACAATAGAAATGGAAGGAACTTTGTTCAGTCCAGATAGGTGCAAGTCAAACACGACAGGAGAAGGTGAAGCAGCTGAAGAAGGAGGCAACGCATTAGTAATTAAACATATTTGTTGTGATTAGCGGAAGTGTTATTAATTTGATAAAATTCTTCCGTAATAGAGAGCATAGATTCCATTCCAGACTTTGAAGACAAAATTAAAGTGAAATCATCCATAAAGACCAAGTTGTTGATTCGTAATCCATCTGAACTTGTCTCAGCCAAGGGATTAGATAAAGAGGGAGCATGAAGTATATATGGATCCATCATTTCATTCTTAAGAACAGTCAATAAAGGGTCTATATATATAACCCAAAGTAAAGGAGAGATAACTTCACCTTGATCTATATTAATGCAAACACGGTAAGAAGGAGTGATTCCATGAGCGGTGAAAACACGATTAAAGCATTTCACGAAAAGGGATAATATAAGCTTGATAGCAAATGCAAGAAGTTTAATGCGTTCTAAAGCATAACGCAACATCTTGAGATCAACTGAGTCAAAAGCCTTCGAAATATCTTGCGAAAGGACCCAGAGCAACGATTTGTTGACATGAGCATTATGGATAATAGATTCGAGTATGATGATAGGGTCGCGACAAGTCAAGAACCATCAGGGAAACCGGCGAAGTTTTCTCCTTTAAGGACTTCATTTGAAGCCAAAATGGAAGCGAGACGATTATAGAAGAGCTTGACTAAAGATTTTCTAATTACTTCGAGCAGAGTAATCGGTATTGTGTTTTTTAATTGACATTTCCATTCATAAGGTTTAGGGATAGGGAAAACCATAGCTTGATGACATAAATCAGGGATATCTGCAATGCGAAAACAGAATTGGACTAAAATTAAAACCAAAGCGGATGTGTTGGGATCCAAATGTTTGAGCATCTCATAGGTGATCATAGAAGAACCAGAAGCTTTGTCATTTGGCATAGACGAGACTGTAGACAACCATTCTTCTAAGGTAGGAGGATCCATCAAAGAATTATAAATAGAAGAATCCACATCATCCATAGGATGATAGGCAGAAAACCATCTGTCAGGAAGAGCAGAAATGTTATTGGGAGGAGATGATTTTATGGGAACAGAGTTCTGGAAATGGTTGATAACGGCGTCATCAATATCATGCGGGTCCGTCAAGAGTTTTGGTTGTGTAGGGTGGTCAATAAAAATACGATCCAAAGTAATACGACGTTGAGTCCTTGAAAGGGCAGAATCAATAAATGAGGAGATATCAGTTTTGAAATTGTTATCCCTATCATCCAATTTAGCACGAATGGAAGAATCTTGAAAATCTTTTTTATTAAGAAGAAGAAGTCCATGGAGGGCATTGGAAATAGTCTTTAAAAATTTTAATAAAAAATTAAAACCGGCTTGCCTACATGTGGATAATGAAGCAGGTAAAATAGGGGGAGAAGGAATAACCTTCTTATAAAGATAAAGAATTTTTTGAAGGCGAATGAAATGAGTGGACCAAACACGTTCATATCTACTATAATATGTGGAAGGATATTTTCGCAATAAGCGTATCGAATGCAAAAGACGGCTAAGGAAACGATAATGTTGAGTTAAAGTTTTCAAATCCTTAAGCACTGTAGGCGTATGTTGATTTCCAACCGTGACAGATGGGAGAGAGGCATTAGCAGCTTTCACGATGCGAGAATGTAAATATTCGCATTGTTGATTGATATGCTATGATGAGAAGGTTGACGAAGGTACGTCGCATAAAGAGTCAGTGTGAATAGAAAAGGAATCCCATTGTTGAGCTGTGACTGAATCAAATTTAAAAATGCGGCAAGTTTGACGTTGAAGTTGTTTAGCACGAGCAACCTTAATAGACACAACCAAGAGCGAATCATTAAAGTACGTGATGATAGGATTATGATCAGAAGAGCAGGTATCTTGGGCGTCAAATATATAGGAAGTGAGAGCAAAGCTTTTTAGTATCGGGCAAGACCAAACATAATCAATACGAGTAACTTGGTCATTACGGTGAAAGGTGCCTAAGGAATCAGAAGCGTTAACAGGAAGAGTTTCTTCATAACCATGAGATAAAAGATGATATAACAAATGATAAGCTCGTTGAGAAGCAGTAGAAGGGCGATTAAAGTAAATAGGATAATAGGTATCTAGGTGCATATTAAAATCTCCACAAATGGTGTGGTAAAAATTTAATTGCTTAGTTTGCACCAATAATTGTAAAAGAAGATCAATGGTTTCTGATCGTAATATAGAATCAGAAATAGGGGGAATATAAATAACTAAAATGCGTAATTTAATGTTACCTTTAAAATAAAGGTCAACAGATAAAATACGCGAGAAATGTGAAACAAAATCTTATACATGAGAAGCAAGGGATTTTTCAATAAAAAGGAAAACGCCACCAGTAGATTTAACTTGTTTGGTATTATCCAAATCAGATGAAAAGACAGTATAATTAGGAAGGCGTTTAGAAAGAAAGTGAATTTGTTTAGGGGATAAATGGGTATCTACAATACCACAAATGAAATATGTTTAAGATTGAAAAAATTTGAAATTTGTTCAATTTTAACTTGGCTATTGTGACGAAGACCATTAACATTAAAGGATGAAATATTAAAAGAATTGGGAATAGGAGAAGAATTTAAAGTAGTAAATAAAGATTCATGTTCTGAAAAATTATATATATCTATAGGGTTGGGGGGTTTCGAACAAATGTATCATAATTAAAATTGTCTGACATTAGAACACAATGATAATAAAGAACGGGGAGGGAAATTGAAGAATCAGTTATTGTGAAGGAGCTGAACCAGCTCGATCGGAGGGAGAACCTTTAAGAGAAGCAATAAAGCCTTGAATGGATCTAGTAAGCAATTGTAAAGTATCTTTAATCGCTTTTTGGTCATTAATAACTGAATTCAATTTGTCTTGCGGGGAAGGGTTGGGGTTGGATGCCGGAGTAGAGTTTGAAGTTTTATTAGGTACCGGTAAAGGGGAAGAGGACAATTTTTGAGCTGAATGTAAAGGAGCATTGGGATGTGGAATTAAAGTACCAGTTTCAGGAGGATCTTCTTCCATCCGGTCAGTATCAGAATTGACAACAGGTGTAAGGGGAGGGTTAATGCCTAAACATGCTTTTATAGCGGAAAGTCGCTGGTTATTAAGTTTGAGATTCGAGATGCGGAATTCAACCTGAGCAACATCATGTTGAAGGTTTTTCAATACGTTGAGAATATTAAGGGCAGCCTCAAGGGCACTAGAAGAATTTGAATCAGGGAGTGGAGCGCGAGCAATGGACGAAAAGGAAACAGATCTATCTTTGCCTTTTTGATTATTGGAAGGCGTACGGTCATGAGCAAATGAGGAGGACCTAGCTGAGCCAGAGGAAGAGGGTTTAGTATTATTATTATGATCATTATTATTAGATCGATTAGATCTAGAATTAGAACATTGAGCAGAGGCAGAACGATCACAGGATTTGGACCTAGAGCGGGAGCGAAAATTATTTCGTTATGATCATTGTTGAGTAGATTTTTGGCTGATATTAAAACGTTCTTTGAGGGCAGCAACAGGATCACGTGTACGAGAATGACCATGACATTGATTGAGAGGACAGGAGGTAGGAGCACTACCAAGTTTACCACATCTATGGCAAAGAGCTTTAGAATCATTAGATGTACGTCATCGAAGAGTACGATCTTGAAAGCCAATTGTTTGTTCCATAGCGGCATCCATAGTAGTTTGAGAGTTGAAAGTAACGTAAGCCCAGGGTTTGGGTTTATATGAATTTAGGGAAAGAGGAATGTTAATAGCTTTAGCCCCATGTTCTTTGACCAACGGAGCAAGATGGATATCTTTGGTATTAGCTAGAAGTTCAGAGAGAATTGCAACGAACTCTCTGCGGGCAGCTTTTTGATCTACAGAGTAATGACAAGGGGTGACTTGTAAACAGGTGGAAAAGTGTTTAATTTATTAAATATGTTTAATATATGCAATATGTTAGATATATTTAACATTAATTAATTAGAGTAAAATAATTATAAATAGTGGAGCATTTGTAGCAAAACGAAATGTAGTTAAATGAAGTTCAAGTAAAAGAGTTTTCTTAATAAAAATGGTTCTAATGATTATGTTAAATAAACTGTTGTTTGAATTTAACAAAATATAAATTTGTTATCCTTTATTCATGTTGGGAGTATATGCCGACGTACAGTGCTATACTACACGTCTGATTGGATTGTTTATTAAGTGTTTATACATATAGTTTATTTATTGATTATACCCGCCTACCTATATACCTTCTGCTTACCCTTTTCCATTTGTTTACGTTTGTAAACGCTAAATAACTGGCTATAACAATATAGTCCATCAGAAAAAAACATTTCACTTGCAATTACATTATTATTATCAACATCTTTTTTTTTAATTTTTTTAAGAATTTAGATTTTAGAATTCTTTTATTTTTTGTAGATGATAACTCCTACAATTTGTGAGTCAATTTTTCTTGATAATTTTCCTGATTTGATTGCTAGCTGATTCTTATCCACAGATGCTTTGGGTGTCACTTTATTGTCATCAATCAACTTCTTACCATTCGTGGCTTGTGGACCATAAGCAGAATCATAATCATCAACCACATTTCTAATTCCATTACGAGAGTGATGTACCACATCCTTCCACATTCTATGATCTTCACTAAGATTAAGGTGGTCATGCTGTTCCAGCAAGGTTTCAGGAATGTGATATACGATTATAGCAGGTGAGTTCAGAACTCGTTGCCGAGCAAACTTGACCACATCAGTTCTGCCACCAAAGTCTTGTCTTCTTCTATATTCACCAAAATCTATGCCCTCCATTATAATGTTTTTAGCACCCCACAAGTTTGTAGTGTGATAAAACAAGGTGAATTCATCAGCTTGTCGGGCAAGTTCTGTCTGAAGTAAGAGTCTAAGCTCATTATCATTGCCACTTACAGGCTCCTTATTCCCAGTAAGAAAAATTGTATACTGAAAATATACTAAAAATATACTGAATTTTAATAATATATAAAGTTTAATAAATGTATTATTTAAGTATAATTTGGGTATATTTTTTATAAGTTAATTATATACATAATTAATACTGAAAATATGTTTAAATATATTGTTTTTGATATGGAAATAACTTACAAAACATCCTTAAATTTTGCCCGTTTAAGTATATTTTAAGTGTAAATATTTTATATTTATTTTATTATTAATTTCTACTTTAGTTTAAGTATAATAAACGGATATATTATATATTAAAAAGTATATTTGAATATATTAAAATGCATTATCAGTATACTTTACATACATTTTAATAATATATTAATTATGATTCAAATCGAAACAATGTATATTTTTAGTTGAATTAAAGGTTATTTAATTTATAATAAACTAATATTTATTGTACATTTTGATAATAAAAGGATTATGCAATGAGTATTTAATATACATGTTATAGATATGGTTTAATTATATTTTAATTATTTTCAGTACGTTAAAAAAGGTTATTTTAATTATAATAAATTGTACATTTTAATAATAAAAAGATTATTTAATAAACATGTTATAGATATGGTTTAATTATATTTTAATTATTTTCAGTGCATTAAAAAAGGGTATTTTAATTATAATAAATTGTACATTTTGATAATAAAAAGATTATTTAATAAACATGTTATAGATATGGTTTAATTATATTTTAATTATTTTCAGTGCATTAAAAAAGGTTATTTTAATTATAATAAATTAATTTTTTGTGTACATTTTAATAACATCAAGAATTCATTTTTAAGATAATATGGTTTGAATAAATGCATAAATAATATTGAACATAATTACGAAAAGAAATACAGTTACAAAAGACTTATTCTGTACCTTATTATAATAATAACTTGAGATCTACTTACCCAAAAGAACATCATATGAAAAAATACATATGGTATATTATTCTAATATATATATTCAAAAGTAAAAAATATAAAAAGATAGTTATGGAATAGCAATAGTTTATAAAGACTGATACATACCTACTAAATTATCTTTTGCTTAATTTTTGTAATATTGCGCTGCGAAATATAAAAAAAAATACGTTACTACAACTGATGCAATTATAACATGAGATTTGGTGAATATCTTCTACATACTCCCTTAAGTAACATCACAGTCTAGTAAGCCTCAACCACACCCTGTTGTAAAGAAGGTACATAACTGACTCTTTAGACTTCACAATAGGATATTGTGTGGTAGAGAATCTGAAAATATAAATATATTCTATTTTCATACCTATTTAACAGCTTTAAAAACCTTTTATCGATAAATATAAACACAATATTAATGTAACTTTTTAACAAAAAATAAACACATAAGCAAAGTATTAAAGTATTTTTTAATAAAAGTTTAATAAAAGAAAGAAAAATAAATATTAAAGATAAAAAAGTCAAACGGTAATAAATAAACAAAAGATCTTAATAAATAATGCAATATTTACTATTTTTAACTACACTAATTATAATAGATAATCTGCGTTTAACTATTTTTAGAGAGAATTAATAAATTTACCAAATAACGGGTTATCTGATTTATTCAATTCTACCAGCATTATAACCATTATTTTATTAGATGGAATGATAAAGTAAAATTTACTTTTTATTATTTAAACATGTTTAAATTGCAAATAACGGGTTATCTGACTAACATAGACCGGTATTTAATATCTATATTTTTCATTTTCTACCTCTTCCACGTCTTTCTTTTTTTTTTGGCTATTTTGTGGTGCTTCTAAAGGAGATTCTTGTTGCAGAGGAAGTACTGGAGATTCTTCTTGTGTTCTTCGTGTTTCTTCTTGTCGTGCTACTTCTTTTTGCACTTCTTGTGCCACTTCTTCTTGCACTTTTTGTGCTGCTTCTTCTTGCACTTCTTGTGCTGCTTCTTCTTGCACTGGAAGAGTTCGATTTTTTTTTTTGTTTAAATAGTATCCTAAAAATAAAATAACAAATGATTAATAACAAAAATAAAACAAATAATTTACAAAATTATTATAACTCACGNATTTTTTTTTGTTTAAATAGTATCCTAAAAATAAAATAACAAATGATTAATAACAAAAATAAAACAAATAATTTACAAAATTATTATAACTCACGTTTTCTTTGAATGGTACTGATTAACATTTCTTTGACAGCCCAGTCACCTGCAGTTACAGGAAAATCGGGAGCTTTCTTCTTAAACTACAATGAAAAGTTAGTTGGCTATCAATAAACTTTTTGAAAAAAAAATAATAATAATGAAAGACAATATTTATAGCACGAACAACTTGGGATGTTACCAAGGTCTTTTGGATTCTATAACTTAAAGCAAAATCCACATTTTTCTCATAAAGACACTCCCTCATCATATCCTATTATAAAAATAATGAGTAAAATAATAAAATATAAATTTAACTTTTTATTAAAAAGCTAAAATAATTAATTACTAAATAGCTGAGCCAGCGCTGCTTTTGATCTCTTAAGCCGATAGCGTCCTGTAATTTATATTTATGCGTGAGCCTATAGATTGGCTTAGCCTATGATATTAAAATAATGAGCGATAGAACATTATCAATATGATATTCTTAATACTTTATACCTCAGACGGAAGAACATTCAAATCGATAGGAGATAAAACAGTGTTAGAGTTGTTAGAGGAAGACATGTCGAAAATAAGAAAAAGAGTTTAAGTTTAAGTTTGGAATAATACAAGCGTGAACTTATCTTTTTATAGAGATATACACGTTATTGAGAAATGTCCCGTGCCAATTTGATGCGCGTGTCAATTTGATATACGCGTTATTATTAATTACTGATACATTGTCATACTTTACTTTTTTCTAAGACTATAATATCAACGATTAGAAATCATTTTTATTACTATTAGTTTTTATGCTAAATAATAATTTATTACATTTTATTCAAGATTTTCCCAATTAGCATCATCAAATGCATTTTCTTTATCAATTGTAAAATACTTGTTATCTATTTTTGCAAATCCTACGCAATGGTCTACACACCTTACATCAATAAATTCTTTTGATTTAAATTGAGTAAAATATTTACATTCATATTCATCATCTATTATTTTTGATGTTAATTGTACATAAGCGAGCATGTGAATTTTATCATTAAATTTATGTACAAAAAAATAATCTACTATCCCATAAATATCTACAATTATGAGTTGAGGAAGTGCATTTGGTCTATGAGAAACTTTATCTATTGTACGTCTTATCTAAATTACAAGCAATAATAAATCAATAATATAATTGATGATGATGATGATGATAAATGATTTCTTACCTGAACACAATAATTATTTCTTGTGATCTTATTCTTTTTTTTTATCCAATGACTGCTAATATAATGCCCATCCAATGTTCTTAGTCTTCCATATTGCATGCCATAATTATTAATGTTCTAATAAATTTAAAAAAAAACTAAATATATCTTGAATAATTTGATTAATCTAACAAAAAAATTTTTTTACATTTACTGAGTTTGATCCTTCATAAAATTTAATCAGATGTTTGTGCTCTTGTCCTGATAAAGAATATTGTAT